CATTATTAAAGACAAATATTTAAGAAATTATTTAAATAAAATTTGTCATCCTTTGCTCTTTGAAAAACTTGTTCTCTTCTTACTTGATTTTCCCGTCACTTAGTTGAGGCGGGAATTTCTGCAGAAAATGATGTTCTCACAAAGATACGTCATTTATTTCAGATTGAAAACAGAGAAATGGTACGCTTAAACCTGAAGCAAGGCTTGAACTTGACAAACTGAGAAATATTGACACCAGCAGCACCATTGAAATCTTTAGTCAGGATTTATATTTTCTACTACATTTTGCGTTTGAAAATAAAATGTATTTCCTGTTACATGGAATTTCTATTTGTGATTTTGTGGGTCTGAATTTTTTACGTTAAAACTGGCCTACACGGGAGAAAAGACTGGGAAACATTTCTTTAAAATGCGCTAGTCAACCGTTATTTTTTGTGTTAGCACAAGACAATCATTATGATAACATGTAAAACGTGATAAATAGAGAAAGCGTGTATGTCCTGGGGATTAATCAGGTAAATTGTTGATATTTCATCTTTTCATTATATAATCTGAAAAGTTTCCTTTCTTTGCTAATAGATATTTCTCGAAGAATAAATCGCATATTTGCCTGTGGTCGGATCTTCAAACGCAAATGAAATCCAGCATTTCGGTTGCTGTTTCTCAAAGTAAATCAAAGTCTCCTTTCTCTGAATATTGGCGCTTTGCACTCTTCCTAATCCGTATTTCTTTCAGTTTCTCTTAAGCTGTACCAAGTAAACTTATTAAATCTCCATACACACTGAAACTCAATCATAGATTTCTGAAGGCAAAAGTATCAACTTGGCTACATATAAGTTTACCTGTGCACATACGTATGATGCCCGAAAAGTAAGATACACACATTTCCTAATCAAATGTATTTATTACTGTACAAATGAAACATTGTTCATAAGTTACTAGCAATACGCTGCAACGTTTCCACCTTGTCGCCATCGAGATTGATGTATTTGTCCCAACGACCGCGAAAATGAAATCATCGAAACACGTATTGTCAAGCGTCTGCAACCACCTTTGCGTCGGTACAACAACAGTGCCATTTGTATGGAGCCGTTTCTCGAATGAATCTCATTTCGGGCTCTAAAACTGAATGAGCCAAGTCAGGACTATGCAGCAGCAACAATAAAACATTCTCAGCCATCTTGTCACATTTTTGTCAGGTCGACTGTGTCTGGGAGCGTTTTCCTGCATCACATTGAGACCCTGATGCCCTAATCTCTTCACTCAATTTGTTTTACAGATCTTACTGCGTTAATTGTCTGTTTTTATGGTTTATATTCTGTACAGTGCTGTTCGATAAAAGTGACTCACCTGATTTTTTTTTACTCTTCTCTGATGAAACGAAAGTTGAGCTAAACTCAAAGGATAAGCGATCTAAAATCTGAAGAAGAAGCTTTGAATGCTCTTTGAAGTTAACAGTAAGTACTGTCAAGCATCCGTTCAATATAATGTTCTGGGGATGCTTTTATTTTCATGGAACTGGTTTCTTAAAACCTATTGAAAAGACCCTCAGGAGCGAGCAGTACGAGAGAATTTTAGAGTCTTGTCTGCTCCCTTCTGCTGAAAGGGTGCAAATAGACCTCACCAAGCTCATTTTTATGCAGGATAATGTTCCCTGTCACAAATCAAAATTTATGAAGGAATACTTTGATGAGAAGCACGTGAATGTTATGACATGGGCGCCCTAATCTCCTGACCTCAACCCCATAGAAAACTTATGGAGCATGTTGCTCAAGTGCTTTCTCGAGAGCCTGTACTTTATAATTTATACTTTATACTTTATAACTTTATATTTTATTTAGCAATGGATTCAATATAGAGATTTCACTTCATGTCAGCTGATCAGACTTTTTATCGAGACAAGAGTAAATGGCTTTGTCATCAGCGTAGATAGCAAGTTCAGAGCTGGTGCCATCGAAAAGGTCATTAATGGAAATTAAAAACAGTGTAGGACCACGGATGGAGCCCTGTGGGCGTACCTGCGTTAGTAGGAAAGGATCTAGACGAGTGGCCGTTCAGGATAAATTTCATTTCACTATTTGATAGGAAAGACTGGATCAGCTCAAAAAAGTGTCCGGAGACACCGAAACTTTTTAGTTTGTGGAGAAGACCTATATCCCAAATCCTGTCAAAGGGTTATGTCTATTCAAGTAACTATATGCAAATATGTCATTATGTCAAGCATAAAAGTACGGGAAACTAGTGTAACTTTGTTGGATGTATAATGTAATCAGTATTAGCCATGTCTCTTTAATTTGTGCACATACCAAAATTATAATTTATATATGTGCAAAAATGATTTTCTCCTCTTCCCCCTCTTTCTCTCTCTCTCTCTCTCTATATATATATATATATATATATATATATATATATTTCTATCAGTGTCTGCATTATGCATATACTTCAAGATATATTACGTATCTATATAAATCATGTGTGTATGTAGGAATACAAACGTATGCATACCGATATGTGTATATAAGCATTCCCATAGACTTACATTTTCAATCCCTATGTGGTTATAAATATATGCACATATGCATATATATCGATATAAACATATTTACACATAAATATATACGCGTGAATACACACAACACATATGCCCACATATATAATATAATATATATATATATATATATATATATATATATATATATATATATATATATATATATATATATACACTTTCAGAAGAAGCTGTCCGATGAACTGTAAAAACAAAAACAAAAAACGGAGATTAAATATGCCTTATATATTAATTTAGTTTAAAAGCTTTTTTTTGTTGTTCGTGTCGACATTTCAGATTGATATGATCAAATGAAAGATAAAAAAGAAAGAAAAAAGAAGACAGAAAGACAACAACTGAAAAAAAAAAGGAAAAAGAAAAAAAGACATCCATTATTAGTTCATATCTGAGAAAGGAAATTAATACCTGATTATTCCGATTTTTATTCACGAATTTTCTAAAGTGTAACACTACGAGTTTTCAGGGCATTCCTATAGTTTCGCTTTCGTTCTTTATCCCGAATCTATTTTCCGCAACGTAAAATATTTAATAGTGATATGTGCGAAAATATTCAGATTTCGGCAGTGGAAGTACAGTTTATTATAAGGTTGATATTAGAATTATAGAGTGTTATGGCACGTTATGTTCCATAGGAAAAGCATGGAGACTGTACGAGATAACTATTAAATCCATGTTAGACAAGCATGAATAAACATGAATTTAAATATTCGCTAATACTTGCGCAAGCAAAGGGTTCGATTACTGATAGTCTTTAGATGTGAAGTATTATTTTTTAAATGTGTTATCTTGATGGAAACATTCTTTCGAAACAGTCACTTCTTCTTTGTAACCTTTATCATAAATGTCTGGTCTTTGTACACAACCGGACATTTTAGGCATCGTCTTGTCCCGTGACGTGTCCCGTAATTCATTAAGCTCGTAAGAGCACCACATGTACTGTATCCATAGCAGCAGTGGTGTGTCTAAGACGAGAAAACCTGACAGAACCCTTTACAAGCCGGTTTTGAATTCAGAGTTTTCCTTCTCAGACTGGTTTATACCTGAAGGCAAAAAAGTCCCAAAAGTTTTCTTTTTGACTCATAGATTGATGGCGGAAAGAGAAGAGGTTGATTAATTTCTTTTCCAAGGATATTTTTTCGAAAGTGAACGTTACTAGTTTGTTCGGAATTCTAAATTTACTCGCTGATTTTGTTAATCATTCTATGCCGAAATTATAAATTAAACCACTATACGTATCCAAAACTATGGCTAGACAGCAAGTTTCAATTGAATAGTGAATTCGATCTTCACTGAATGTGTGTAACCTTGTGTCAAAGTAAGCTTAGCTCCACACCCCTTTTCTGGGATACTGGCGAAAAATAATTTCATCTGCACCTTCCAAATTGCACTTAGAGGGAGTGTCAAAACATATCCCTAATACCTGGGTCATTCATTTCTTGCACCACTCGCATAGAGAGCTACGTGTTAACTTTGACATTGTGTCAAATCTACTATCAGGGTGGGTAGACAGCTACTTCTACTGAACTCGAATAATAATATATATATATATATATATATATATATATATATATATATATATATAAAATCTATAACGTACAAAGGAGAGAAAATAAAATTTGGAACACTGCTTTGAACGCCAACGGAAGGTGGTGAAGAAAAGCAAGAAGACATAATGGTCTTTAACAAAAGAAATGGTTGTTAGCAAAAGCAATGGTCCAAAATGGAAATTAAAAATCAGAAATACCAAAATGAAACAAGTAGAAAAAATTGAATATTTGGGAAGTTTTTCAACAGAGGACTGAATGCGTGACACCGAAACCCGAAGGCGCATTAGATAGCGAAAGGTGATTTCTAAAAGCTAAGCAAAGTATTAAGAAACAGGAAAATTTCGTTAGAATCAAAGAAAAGGATTACTGAAATGTGCAATATCAGTTCTCCTATAAGGCAGTGCATGCTAGACAGTTTCTTCTGGAATTATTCACCTTTTACTGTACCCCCCCCCTCTCTCTCTCTCTGTATATATATATATATATATATTTTTTTTTTCTTCTTTTATTTGTGTTTTTGCTATTCTTATTTGCTCTTAGCCCCGTTGGGGACTAACCTGTTTATTAAAGCTTGCGTCAGTTTAGTTCTATTCCTTATTAAAATTTAATAATGAAAGTTGATTGAAGGATAAACAAACTTATGAAACACGGGAGATTAGACGTATCTCCTAACACAACCTCTGCGATTAAAATCTTTAATCATTGGTATTGGACCTTCACTTCGTTCCTACGAAAAACTGCAGAATGATACTGTACATGATGAACAAGACAAATTGGATGGGTTAATTAACATTTCCTCGGACGTCTACGACCATATTGCCGTGTATGCTACTTTCGAATCTGCTGTAAACCACCTCAAAGAATTATATGTGAAACTCACAAACGAAATCTTCGCCAGATATGTTCTAGCAACGCGTGGACAAAGAGAAGATGAAGACATTGATGATTATATTCAGGGGTTACAACTACTAACTAAAGAATGCAGATTCAAGGCGGTTAAATCGAAACGATTTTGTTAGAGACGCATTCATTACTGGCTTGCGCTTTAATTTCATTCAACAACAGCGTCTTTTAGAAAACAGAATCTTTAATCTACAAACGACGGTTAATCAAGCCACATCCGCTCTTACCAACTGAGGGAGCCATAGCATCAGAAAACAATGATTCATTTGTCGGCGATGCGTGTGCCTTTACAAGCGCTAAACGTTATTTTTGTGGTGCCTCATGTCACAGTCGTAAAGTGTACCCGTTCAGAGAGGCCACGTGTCACAAATGCAGAAAAAAAGGGGCACTTTTCTAAAGTATATTGGTATTTCGACTACCCCTCTTACTCGATTTTATACATTGTCAACCACTGCACTTATTAAATCAAGATACGGTGTTCGTATTGATTGGTAAAAATGAGGATACTGCTCTAATGGACACTAGCAGCTCTGGTTCCTTTATTTCGCTTGACTACGCAACCAGACACCAGATAAAAATAAAACCTGCAGTAGGAAATATGTCCATGGCTTCATCGTCACTTAACGCTTCAATAAAAGAGCAGTATACAGTCAATTTAAATGTATTAGGTGAGTGGTATCTGAACTTTTTGTCCTTCCCAATCTTTGTAGTCATGTAATTCTCGGGTAAGACTTCATGAACCAACTTTCTTGGATATCTTTTCCATTTAGCTGCCCTAAGAAAAGCCTAATTATTTTCAGTTCAAATGCTTGTAGTCTATATACATATACCTCCATTACTTTCGAATCTCGATTCTAACTGCAAACCTATTTCGACGAAATCTAGGCAATTTGAGACTGCCGATAAACACTTTATTAAAACTGAGGTTAATAAAATGCTAAGCAATGGAATATTTGAGGAAAGCACGTCTTCTTGGCGAGCTCAAGTTTGAATTATTGATAACGAACGACATAAAAAGAAATTAGTTGTGGATTATAGTAGTCTTATTAATAGATTAATAGATTCACTCGACTCGACGTTTACCGCCTACTACGAATGGACGATCTGGTTTCGGAAATCTCAACATATAAAATTTATTTTTCTTTGGATCTAAAGAGCGCATATCACCAAGTAGTCATTTGAGGAGAAGACAAACCGTTCACCGCATTTGAAACTAATAGCAAATTATATCAGTGTTGTCTTAGTTCATTTGGGGTCACTAACAGGCTATCTTGCTTCCAACACATAATGGACAACATTATTACGAGGAGTAACTTGCACGGAACATACGCTTATGTAGATAACATAGTTGTAGTTGATTTAAGAGGAGCACAATAAACATTTATCGAAGTTTCTAGAGGTAGCTAAACTATATAATCTTACTTTCGACGAAAAAAGTCCTCCCTATCAACCACTTCTACTAATGTTCTTGGCTACACAATATCTCATGGGATACTTAAACATGATGCTGACCAACTACGCCTACTTAAGCTAAAGCAGCTCTTCGCAGAATTCTTGGTATGTTTTCTTATTCCTAATGGATATAAAAGTTTTCGGATAAGATCAAATCCTTAATTATGGATGACTCGTTCTCTTTAAATCACGAGTTAGTGGAAGCATTTCGAAAACTTAAAGAAGAAATTGAAAGTGCTTTACTTCATGTTATTGAAGAAGTGAGGAAACAGAGAGAAAAGAAGTACATGGAACTTATTTCGCAACAGGAGTTTGAGTGGTGCATGTAGAGTAGAACGGAATTGGATGGATGTGATATCCAGGCTAGAGTTTGAAGCGTCATGAAAGATGTCAACTAATACGACTTAGAAGAAAACAAATATGGGCTGGAGTAATCTTTTAGACAGGTACTGTAGGCAAATAAACAACAGCTTCCTTCAAAATTTATGATAATATCAAGCTAAATGCGAATAATTATTGTAAGTTCTTAGCGAAAATTTGTACCGCTTATAACAAAAAAACTTGGACTTAAAATATTTATTAATACAAAGCAATGTTCCATTACATTCTGTCAAACAAAGTGTTGCCATCCTTGCTACAAAAGGCTTCAAAGTCAAAGTTAATGGAATGGTCGCTAGTTAATCCAGACATTAGTTCAATAGAAAATATGTCGCCCGTCATAAAGAGTTGTAAAAATTTAAAACAATATTCAATGAAAGAAATTCTTTGAAAAGTAATAAAAAATTATTGTACCCAACGTTAAAGGTTAAAAAGTGGTAAAGCTTTAAAAAGTCAATGATTATATTACTGATAAAGAGTACTGAATATCAAGGGATCTTTACTAGTATATAAAATATTACATTACTCATATATATGTTACTGTGTTAATAAAATAATTTTCTATGACCCATACCATTATTTATTAATAAATCTCTCTTCGCTATAACAACACCTCCTCCTCCAAAAGTTATTATCAATATTTTTTAATAAAAATAAATATAGTTAGCTGAAACTTACATGAAACATTGTTTGTTTATATATATATATATATATATATATATATTGAACAATAAAAAATATTAAAAAATTAAAATGTTCAGACACACTGGGTTGTAGATTAATATTCCTTCCTTTTTTCATTATTATTTCATTTAGATTTCTTGACTAGTTTCGTCCAAAATGGCCATCATCGGGAGAAGAAATATTTCTGCTTGCTGGTAGCAGTAAACTACAGAAATGAATATATATATAGAGATAGATAGATAGATAGATAGATAGAAAATTTACCAGCATCAGTTGCTTAATACAAATTTTATTGTAAAAATTTTGACTTCATAATAAAATTTGACCGTATTTACTTTATTTTACTTTTTTTGTTGCAACTTTATTTAGACCGTTGATCTACGGCCGTGATTAAAAACACAAATCGTAAATACATGATGAGCTCCCATTGAAATTAACAAACCGTCCTTTTCGCATCAGTGAAACCTTCCACCTTAAATACAAGAATTCGATAGCCTGAATGAAGATCAAATCTAAACTTACTCTTCATTCATTCTCGTTTCTCTCTCTCTCTCTCTCTCTCTCTCTCTCTCTCTCTCTCTCTCTCTCGGTATGTTTTGTTTTGTTTTTAGACTAGATTTAAAGAGGCTAATATTACTTAGAGCAACGAAAGACAGGAAGTTGTGGAGAGTCATGATCACACGGCACAAAAAATATAATTTGATATCTGCATATTTTATTTTTTAATTTTCTAAATTTAAAATAATTTTTTTTATATTTTCAGAATTTTAAGGCGTTTTTTTTCAGAAGCACATTCACAAATAATAAAAATAAAATAATAATTATTTATTCTAAAAGAATAATAAATGTGTGTAAGCTTTTATCAATTTAAGTAGTTTTTTGTTCTTTATTTAAAAATGTATATATACATTTGTATTTTATTCAAACGAATGCTTTGTGAAAAAGAGATGTTTCGTACGCAGAATTGGTCAGTCAAGATGACAGATGTAAAGGTCAAGAATCGACTTTACACTTCACCGATATTATGAATTCGACACCCATTCTAAAATAATAAATATCAATTTTTCCATTATGAAAAATGACGCGACTTTAGGAACGTCTAATGAATACTAAACTACACAAATTATTTCCGAAATTCCCCCACCCTATTTTTTTACGAATAGATCCGTTTATTTACGTATTGACAATAACAGAATCCTTTTTCCAGGTCCATGACCAAATAGCATTCAGATTATGGAAAGTAAACCGAAAACATTTTAGCATCCTTTCCCATATGGACAATTATATCGTAATATACTTGCATATAATTAAATCTATCTGTTTTTATTTGATGTATACTTAGATTTTATTTTATATAAACTTATATAGATTAATTAGAATTAAGTTTAATACAATGATATTAATGAATAAAAATAAAACCTCGTGATCTCGCTATCAATCCAATTTTATTTTTTATTCACACACAAAAGGACTAATGAATGCTAATCTGAAAAACAAATTCCAAAAAGATTTTTTTACTATTTTTACGAGTGAATAAGTGTACTTAAATAGTACTGAAAAGGTTGCCAAAAGTGCGTGCATTAGTTTCCGAGCAACTATTGGTGTCTTGCTTTTGTTTTATAAACAAAGTATTGCTCACATTTCTATATCATCTGAATAAAGCGTATTATTTTGTTAGTTCAAAATGGAGACAGAAACAGATTGCGACTTTATATTTTCGATAAAGCTCTCTCCCTTACTTTGTTGCATGTCACAATCATCCTTATTTTTACTAACACGGAAAGCTATATATAGTAAAACCAATTCTTTCCTTCATGACAGATTACTGTCAGTGTCATGGCGACCAGCTTAGAATAATTAAATATAATTTTAAAAAATGCCGGCTTTGAGTAAAAGAAGAGAAGAAGCGCACCTGCCAAAGTGTCAGCCTCGTTTTGGAACAATCTGTTGTCGTTGACGCCACCGGAAGAATGAGAACGGCATTGATTGGACCGTCATAGGTGATGTGTGGAGAGAAGAGTAATAACTGCAATACTGTTTTATTCACGAACGATTTCTCAACGAAATTTCCTGTGCAGACTGTTAGTTAATTGTTGATGTGCACATGCTCCTTGAAACGCGTCAAGGTAGAATTCGATAAGATTTCAAAACAAAGCAAATGAGAAATATGGGACAGAGAGGGCATTTTGCTAGCGGAGGGAAATATAACAAGATGTGAAACTACGATAGCGATTAAAGATTAAGAAAGATGTCGGTTATTATGCCAGGAGAAATGTGCGGAATTTAGCGTAAAATCGAACAGCAAATTTTTCTAACGAATAGATTAGTATTCGAATTAAAATTTCATCTTCCAATTATTTTTTTCTTAGAATTGATATTTTCCTTAGTATATTGGTTAAGTCTATGTCAATGTTGAGTATTGAGTTAACAGCCTTTTGCTGCATCGCTAAACTGTCGTAACATGCCAGTGAAATTTTATTAAGACTTCTAGCAATGTAACAAGTCACATGGATGCGTGTCTTC